TTAAAAGTATCGATACTAATAAATTTAGGAATCGTGACGTTTTTAATTTCTGAGAATCGCGATACTTTTGAAGTATCGGTGCACCGTGCAACACTAAACATAATATATGTTATTAAAGGAAAGTTTGAAACAGTGTGCTATTATGCACATTTGTATGGTTCATTGCATCTCACCCCTCCCTATGACAGCAGGCGTTCTGCCCTGCCTTCATTTCGAGCATCCCTCGGCCTTGAACCTTCAGGAAACATACGCTAGGCAGTTGTCTGATGCCATGCTAGCTTCCAGCCGTTGCTTAACTGTAATGTAATGTCTGTTACCTTGTGCTCTCCTCCTTCAGATATCCGCCTCCGGGTTCGTGCTGAATACTGCCAGCATGAGTCTGCCCTTCAGGGCAACGTCTTCTCCAACAAGCAAGAGGCAGTGGAGCGACAGTTTGAGCGCTTCAACCAGGCAAACACTATCCTCAAATCCCGAGACTTGGGCTCCATCATCTGTGACATCAAGTTCTCTGAGCTCACCTACTTGGATGCCTTCTGGAGGGACTACATCAATGGATCATTGCTAGAGGCCCTCAAAGGGGTCTTCATCACAGATTCCTTAAAGCAGGCTGTGGGCCATGAAGCTATAAAACTGTTGGTCAATGTTGACGAGGAGGACTATCAGGCTGGTCGACGCAAACTGCTCCGCAATTTGGTCACAAGTGGAGGGAGCCCACCAGGAGCTGGCAAAGACTGTGTATCTTAGAAACTCTCTAGGTGGTAGTATACGGGAGGAACGCTGCTGTGACACCCTCCCACCCCCATAGAGTGAGATGTGGTTGTTTGAGGTGCCTGAAGTGTATGCCTGAAAGGAACTAAAGAACTTCAAGCCACCGTGTTGATTCCTTGAGAGCGGAGGTCGTATGGTATCTACTCGGCACCCCTAAGCGTAGCATGCGAGGTGACTGGGAACTATTTTAGCAAAGAGAAGCAGGCGATGCATACAGGTTGACACTAATTTAAATGTTGAGCTGTATGCTGATTCATATGTGCATTGATAATTTTTTGTTTCTGGTATGTTAGCGCATTGAAACACATTTGTTAACTCTAATGATACTCTTCACCCCTTTTCAGAAGTGTAGTTATTTTCAATACAGGAAACATGCTCAACACTGAGTTACTCCCAGTGGGAGTTGTACCTTATTGTCAAACTGGTTCATCTTTTTTCCAGATTTCCCATTGGATTAACCCAATGAGACAGTGTTCTGTATGTTATAGAAAGGCGCAGCTTGAAGTTGACTTAAAATTAGTTTTTCTATTTCTTTCAGCTTATTATGCTACTTTCCCAAGACTTTGCAGAGTTTCCTTGTCTGTAGAGTCTGTCTTTTGGCTCATATTTGATCACTGTCTATGTCATTGTGTCTCGGCTTTGTTTTAACTAAGTTGTTTTACAACATGGCTCCTTACCAGCAGCTGTGATTCTGGCCTAATTTGACATTTCAGTTGTCCAGTCACTGCCAATATTTAAAACGTTGTGGATCGTTCTAATGTGTCAATCTTATCCAATGAAACATTGAGTCATTGTCTGGTGTTTTAGTGTGCATTTGCTAATCATTGCCAGTTTCATTGTCAGCCTGTACCTCTGGTCCTCTGCTCACTCAGCCTCTCACTTGTGTTCACTCATCATATAACACTGAACTTTTTTAAGTTTGAAATAGCACTCAATAACAATTCAATAGCAGGTAAAAAAAACTCGTCGTGCCTGTAGTAAGGTGCCAGAACAAATCAAAATAATTCACAGGGCTTGTTTTTGTGAAAATATTTCACCCAGCTGTAGTTGAACTGCCACATTAAATCCTTAGCAGTCTTTTCTGTGGATGTGTCACACCCCTCTGGTGGATGAGAATGGAGTTGAGTCCACGTACTTAAACTGTAGCTAAACCTCTAAGTTCTGCTAGCTCTCTCCCTCCCAGCAAATAAAAAATGCAGCAGAGAGAATCAAGTATGGGGCGTGGCCTTGTGGCTACAAAGTGTATGACACAAGCCACTGCTCTCAGACTTTCTGTGTCCGTGCTGAAAACACAGTCACTAAAAGCAAATTAGCTTGTAAAAGTTTCTGTGTGCTACCTGTGTTGTAACGTTAGTAGCGGCAAGCGGCTGAGACATGCTAACTCTCTGTCTCTGTCTGTCAGGCTACGTAGTAGGCCACAGTCTGCAGATTGAGATGTTGCTTTCATAGGAGTGGGTGGGGAGGAGGGAGCAGCTGGTAATGAAAAGCTGCTACGTCACCTGCCTCCAGATCAGCCAATAGTGAAATTGCAATATGTCGAATTCAAATGGTTTGCACAAAAATGTCCAGATTTGGACCTGAATCAGTCGATCAACACTACTAAATATCCATACACATAGGATTTCAGCTAAAAACCTTAAGTGGTTTAGGGATTAATTACTCTTTAAAAAGCAGTACAAGCAGGCGTTGCAATCACTTCCTCACGGCCTGACGGCTTGTTGCACGGAAAGTATCTTTCTCTCTAAGGAGGTGTGGCATCTCCACAGGCATCCAGCAACCGAACTGGGGATTGTTTTGTTAAAGGCTTTGAAACAGGAAAAAATAGTACTGTGCAGGCCAACATAATAGTAAGGTATATAGCATGTAAATCCTATATACCTTACCACAGTTTAGCGCAGATCTTAAACAGTGATATGCTTCTAGTGGCAGAAGACAATGTTTACAGTGTCGTCTTAAACTGGCCAAAATGTGAGTATGTCGAATATGTCTGGGAAAGTGTGTGTGTGTGTGTG